TATATATATATATATATATATGTATGTATCATTATGGATACACAAATGCATGAAATTCATGATTTTATAGTTGCCAATGAGATGTCAAAACGATACAAAAATATCAAACCAGGTGCACTTTTAAAAAAAACAATACCTCTAATTGACTGGCTTTCGTCGTATGATTGGAAAAATAATATCTTAGGAGATATTGTTGCTGGAATTACTGTAGCTGTTATGCATATTCCACAAGGTATGTGAATTATATTAAATTTTTATAACAATAATATGCGATAAATTAAATAAATCGAAAGAAAGACATAGAAAAACGAAAGAAAAGAATTTATTCAGTTGAATAAATCAGAATTGAAGATAAATGCGAAGTATATCTACTAAAATAAATCCTAATTTGAGAATGTGATATTTTATAGATTAATAAATATTCATAGATTATAATTAGAGTAACGTGACTTGAAGTTATCATGACATAACACATTGATTTTGTACAAGTATTACTATTTATGACGTATAAAAATGAACTAAAAATGATGGTATTTTCCTAATTAAAATTGAATATAGATACTTTAGAGTCTCTAGGAATATATTAAAATCGATAATACACTAAATCAATATTGTATCTTTTTATAGGTATGGCATATGCAATATTAGGTAACGTTCCGCCTATTGTTGGTATATACATGGCTTTTTTTCCAGTTTTGGTGTATTTTTTTCTTGGAACATCCCGACATAATTCTATGGGTATGTACGTCAAATGTAGATTTTACTTTTAAGAAAATTATGCATGTACGAAAGAAACAAAAATAAAAATGCATTATGAGGACATACCTAATCCGTATAGAAAGCTAACGATTTATTAAAATTAGCGTAATTTCGCACAAACATTTATACAAATATTACATTTGGTTGCCGCTTAATTTAAAAAGCCTAATAATTAAGCAGGATTGCCGTTTTTGTTAAGGTACGTTTGCGCTTGTCTGCATGATGACTGGCAAAGTCATTACGACATACAGTAGTAGTCCTGCAGTTTCGACAAATAACACGTCAGCCGAGAACGGCACCTTAATTTCCGACGTAAACCATCAATATTCGCCAGTAGAAGTTGCAACCGTAGTTACGTTCACTGTTGCCGTTATACAGGTAACTACACTATGCAATATATGTACAATTCTCTATCGTTGTTGTGATACTTTCTATGAGCATTACAGTACTCTTCGGTACATCTCTCTTTTTCCTGAATTTCTTACTTTTTATTTGTTAAATCGTTATTTTTATTTTAGTCTAAGTAATGCAACTAACAAAATACTAATAGTTTTTATAAAACGTATCTATTAATTTTCTTCTCGTTATTTATAAATTGAGTAATTTTTATTATTTTCTTTTTAATAAAATATCCGTAACAAAAATTTATACGTCGTAGAAAGTACATCACATTTCAATTTTATTTACTTTTAAATGTAAAAATTTTTGCTTGTCATAATAATCACATAATTATGCACTTGCTTGTGTTCTTGGAAATTGTTTTTAGTTAATTACAGTTATCTTGCATGAATATGCTATAGTTTTATATTCATCCACTTTTTATTTTATAGATTAATTTCTTTTCGTCGTGTTGCGTTTTCTCAAAGTAAATTTAATTTAAGAAACTACATATTTACTATTTTCCACATCAGTTGATCCATTTTAATTATCATCCCCATAATTACTAGTGCATATTCGTGCAGTACAGTTTCGCTCTCTTGACCTCTCGTGCGATATCACTCAAAATCTGTCGTCTAGTTAGGAATGTACGTGCTGCGTTTGGGTATAATCTCTTCTCTCCTCGCGGACAGTCTCGTGAGCGGATTCACGACTGCAGCGGCGATGCACGTATTTACATCGCAAATAAGAGATCTCTTCGGACTGAGCGATCTGCCACGGCGCTCGGGTGCATTCAAACTTATTTTCGTGAGTAATAAGTTTTATTAACATTACAAATATTAGTCGACTCCTCTCTTTCTAGGACACATCTTTTCCAATATACTGTTCTTTGTTTATCCTTCTTTTTCCTATCGTCATCAAACAAAACGTTTGCATACGCCAAACATTTAGGTTGCTGTGGTAAACGCTTCCTGTAGATATCCTCGTGTAATCAAATTGTAATTTAAACGTCAGGAAGGTGTTATGTAACGTATGTAAAGATTACGCGATATTGCAAAAGGTCAGGGTTAATATTTGCGTCGCGCTCTATAACAACTTGCTAGTTTTGATGGTACAAAGACGGATTAACAAAAATACGGATTAAATAATTTCAAGTTAGGTACATCTTTGAACTTTAATACATTCGAATATTAATTATATTATTATTGCTGGAAGACGCACGATATAATAAAATGAAAAACCACAAATAAATATGTTATTTCATTTGGTGCATTAATTTTTTAAGGAAAAACTCGAGACATTAATCGTGCATCGATTGAACTTTTACGGTAGAAAAAATACATACTTATGCATATTTAACGATTTTCAGTTATGTATTCTTATGTTGCATACTTCTGTTGCATACTTCTGCGAGTCAACACAAACATAAAACGTAAAACCAGAAGTAGGATAACGTCTTAACATCTAAAATAGTCAAATATTTACAATTGCAAAAGTAAATGGTATTAATAAATTCCATGTTCTCTTTAGAGAGTACAATAGATAAGCTCTAAACGCTTCATAAGACTGATTTTTTTGACTTAACTAAATTCATTGACTTTGCATCAAAAAGTTTTTTTTGTTCGTCGATTACGAATTTAAAGTTTAAATTTAAATATTTAAAATGGTGTATCCAATATGACGATTCAAAACTTAAAAAGCCGTTATAATTCTGACAATTTATATAATTTGTAATTAGCTTTTAATAATATTATATTATTTATTATTAAAATGTTTAAATATTGAAAATATGAGCTATTTTCAATTACTATTCAGAAATATTTTCTATATATTTTTAATCTACCCACCAATGTTCAATGTTGGGCTCATGTCAGCAAAAATTACATCGCTTAGGCTATATGGTGCAAAGTTACGTAATTTAGATATTTAAATTTTCATATACATATATTATATTTTTTTTGTTCTTATTTACATTAGCTCTTTATTTACCTTTTTCAGACTTATATAGATATTTTCAACAGTATAAACAACATCAATATAACGGCTGTGATATTATCTTGCATCACTATCTTAATTCTTATCTTTAACAACGAAGTTCTTAAGGTTTGTAATTATGCTTTGTAAATAAATATGCGAGGTCGAGAGTATCCGACCTCTGCGTGTATCATTATCGTTGGGCATCTCTCTCCCCTCCCACGCCCCCTCTCTCTCTTTCTCTCTCTTTGTGGAAAACGCATTCAGTATTCAGGGGGAACCTTGTAAAATACACATGATTCTGTTCAGTCGGCAACGGTACGCAATTGTGAAGAAAAAAATCGATTTTTTAATTCGATACCAAAATTTAATTTTCGTATATCTTTTGAACTAAGGGTGAGCAAACGAAAATTCCAACTGAGCATTCGTGAGCAAACGATGAGCAAACGAATCCATGAAGAAAATAATCGATTTTTTAATTCGAGACCAAAATTTAATTTTCGTATATCTTTTGAACTAAGGGTGAGCAAACGAAAATTCCAACTGAGCATTCGTGAGCAAACGATGAGCAAACGAATCCATGAAGAAAATAATCGATTTTTTAATATCGGAGGGCCAGCTTCGCACGGGTTACATAACTGCATACAACTTGGTGATTTGTTCCTAAATATTCAATGCCTATTATCTAGTTTTCTATGTAAGATAGAGAAAGAGAGAGAACGTTCAAATGAATAAACATATACACAGTTGGATACTTTTGAAACAGACCTCATATTACATTTTGTATAAAAAGACACATATGAATTTTATAAAATTAATTACGTCTGCATTTTTTAAAAAGAAATAATTTGGATTTCAGCCAAGAGTCTCAAAGTTATGCCCCTTTCCATTTCCGATAGAAATGTTTGCAGTGGTAGTCGGTACTCTGATATCGATGCAAATGAATCTTGCGGATACTTATAATATAGTAACAGTTGGCGATATACCAGTAGGGTAAATGTGTAATGAAAATTAGCATTCGTTAACTCACTTAGCTTGTTAAAAAAATTAACTTTTCTATATAACTGTGTTAAAATAAATTTACTATATTAACTTTGATTAACCCGTTATGTGTGTGTATATAGAAAATCATACATTTTTAATAAAACTATATTAAATTATGAAAGTAAAATAAGTAGAAGCTTCAAATTATTTTAATATTAAGGTTTACAATTCAATTTTTCAGATTCCCGATCCCATCTGTGCCACCATTGTCACTTATACCCAACGTTTTAGTAGACAGTTTCGTGATTACTATGGTTGCTTATACAATATCAATGTCTATGGCATTGATCTTCGCGCAAAAGGAAGGCTATGAGGTCGACTCTAATCAAGAATTGATTGCGCAGGTAAATCAGTGTGAATGGACATATCGCAATATTTATACATACAATATTTTTTAATACAATAAATACGCTTATATTGCTTTGTATACTCTTAATATGTATATATATTTATAAAAATATATATATCAATTCTATACAACTTTTTTTCAGGGACTGGGAAATCTTGTAGGCTCTTTTTTCTCCTGTATGCCTATTACGGCTTCGTTATCCAGATCATTGATTCAGCAAACTGTAGGTGGACATACACAGCTAGCAAGTCTGATATCATGTGGAATTTTGGTGAGCGTTTTACTGTGGATCGGACCATTCTTTCAACCTTTGCCACGAGTAATTATTCTTTTTATCGTTTTTATCTTATAATACAAGCGTCAGATGATGATCAAATGCGTTTGATATTTGTGAGATGCACAGTGTGTTTTAGCAAGTATAATCGTGGTGGCGTTAAAAGGGATGCTGATAAAGATCAGTGAGTTTATGAAATTCTGGAAATTGGACAAGATGGACGCCGGCATATGGATTGTTACCTTCATCATCGTGATTCTTTTCGATGTTGAGTATGGATTATTGATCGGCATATTGCTGTGTATAGGAAGGTTACTTGTCCTCGCAATGCGACCTTATACGTGTAAGCTCGCTCTAGCACCAGGCACTGAGCTCTACTTGGATACTAAGAGATACAAAGGAGTACGAAGAACTTTTAATTTAAAAAAAAAAACTGTTTCTTTTCGTTAATCTCTATTATTACGATGTATATAAGACGGCGCACAAAATGTCATACCATTTAATTATTACATTAAAACCAAACTTGTGAAATGTTTTTCAATTATATGAGCCACTTCTGTACTTACATCATGGAAATTCTGTTAGATGTGGCATAACGAGTCAAAATTGGGCGGAAGTATAAAGGCATTAAGTTTGTAAAATGCAGAGTGGCACATGAATTGTCATAATATTTATTTTTCATATAACACGTTTATTTTTAACAAAATTGAAATTGATACAGAACTGGTATAAAATTAATTACTGAAGTTTGAAAAATTCAAATAGATAATATTCAATGTAACCGTCATGTTTCTTATGTTTGACATATTTTTCGACACAAATCTTCAAATATAATGTATTATGCATAACATAATTGCACGACCTCTTTGAGCCTCCGTCATAAACTCTGTTTCCATGAAAAACAATACAACTTTCTTTTTATGCTCAACATTTTAGGTCAATCGTCCATCGACCGTTCCGATTTCACCCAGTTCCGATTCGTAATGTCACACCTAATACAATAAAATTCCTAAAAAGTACAGAATTTATTATTTTTACAGAATTTCTGTTCACACATTTAAAAAACAGATACTTTATTAATATAGTTTTAATGAAGTAAATAAAATAGTATGACCTTTTTTGCACCATCTTGGATCATAAGCATTTATTCTCTTAAAAATAAGTAAATTTTTTATAAATTTTACATTTTTATATAGAATTTTTGATGTTTTAGTATGTCTAAAAGTTTTAGTAGAATGGCAAGTTGAGAATCAAAATTACCGTTAATGAAATAAAATTATACTGTTAACTATATATAATCAGAAAATAAATGTTCATTAAATATTCTAGACTGTAGAGATTCCCGGCATCAAAATCTTTCACTATTCCGGTAGCTTGAATTTTGCAAATAAACAATACTTTCGTGAGGAAGTATATAAGGTTGCAGAACTAGTACCTCAAACAGAATTAAAAAGGCGATTGCAAGTTGCATACAACAGCACTATACCGCAGGACATTAAAAAGGTAAATAATATATGCAACTTATACTTTTGAAACTATTTGCATAGAGAAATATTCCTCTGTGATATGCTAATTTAAGATAATTGACTATTGCATTTGTTTAATAACTTATTTGTAAATGTCTCGTTACTTAATTTTTATAGCTACGTATTCTTATATTGGACTTCACCGCATTGTCACATATTGATCTGGCAGGCGCGATTGCAGTGCGAAACATTGTTCATGAATATTGTGGCGTAGAAGTATCTGTTTATATAGCAGGTTGTTCCGGTAAGTATATTTAATTTTCAGTATAAAATTTTGTCTATATAATTTCTTAATTAATATCTACACGCAAGTTTAATTCATGATAGTGTCAATCAATAATGTAGATTAATTACTATTTATAATATATTTACTAATATTATTTACTATATAATATTTTCATTTCTTCAGCGATCGATTTTTTAATACATTCTACAAATATATAATAAAAATAAATTTTAGAATTCTTGTATCATGAATAAACGAAGAGATTGGTTTTATAAAAATTTCCCTATTAAAATGTTAATATTTCCAGTAGGAAATATTACAGATGAATTAAAACCTATAGTAATAAAAACTGTATCGATTACAGGTCCAGTATATGAAACAATGAGGAAGCTCAATCTGGTCGAGCGTAACGAGAACCACTTTTTCGCCATATTCCCTACTGTTGCTGATGCAGTACATTTCGCGCGTTCTCACAGTGAAGTGTCGTCGACATGGAACACTTGTAACCACGACGAGAACTACATCAGCAGACTTTAAAATCCGCGAAACGAAGTCACTTATACGCGACACCAAAAAGCTTTCGGTCAAACGCTTCTAACGCCGCGAATATTTATACACCTTATCACGATTATTTACCCGCTTCGTAATTCAGTTTACTCATTTGAAATAATGTATTCGGTACTATGTATATATGCTATGATAGGTAATATGATCGTTCAATCATTTATGAACAGTGATACCATATTTGCGATGATTTAGCGAACATCGCATTTGGTATTACGATATCGGCATTAAAAGCGATCAGAATAACAAATTTTATCGGAGTAATATTTTTAAATTCTTATTAGATAAGAACGATCTGAAGTTTAAAAATTTAGATGGATATAGTTTTGGAAATAATTTTGGAAATAATTTTGTTGGATCATGAAAATAATTAAGTAGGAAATTCATAACATGAACAAAGCTACACATTTTTTCCTAGCAAAATACGTCAAAATAAAACGGTTTTTTCGTAATTATTCATCGCCCGCTTCGTATAGGAGAGCAAAGTAATACACAACAGGTTTTAAGAAAAAAAATGACAGTACAAAAATGTAATTTATATTAGAAGCTTAAATAAAAAATAAGCCATGATTTCAGAAATTAATAAAGTAAGAAAATTAGAAAATAGACAGTTAGAATTTAAGTAAAAATTTATAAACTAAAAGATTATATAAAGAATGCTAATTGCTATGACAGCGTTAATTGTCTGGATATAAATCATATTTTTCGGATAAAAATCATATACTACTATCTTTACCCAAAAGAAACAATCTAAACTAGATAATAAGAATATTAATGCGGAGTCTACGACAAAAGATGTAGTGCTTTAAATCATAAAAAATTGACAAATCACAGTCGAGAATGTAAGAAGAATAATTAATTACGGCCTGTATATTCATAGTGGTTTCTTATGGACTTTCTACAATAACCCGCAACTTTTTAGGTTTAAGTCTTGGCAAATCACAGTCGAATGTGAAAAGAATAATAGTTTATGATTGGTCAATTTCTTATGGCTTAAGACTTAAAACTAAGGTATGACTTATTGTAGAAGCCATATTATGTTTGAAACCGTCTTGAGCTGATTCTACAATGAATCGATAGTCCTAAGTTTTATCGATAAAGTTGACCAACAGCCAATTTGTACGACAAATTATAAGACAACCGATTTTTCTTCTTCTTCTTCTTCTTAGTTTAGAGCAAGCCCGATTTTATAAGACCATTCAAATTCGACTTTATTCCTTTCCATTAGTCAAATTAAATGTCTCGCTGCACAACCGACAACTGGCAGATGCAAAAAATCATGGTTACGTATTTAAGTCAAGACTGATTAAGACTTAAAATTTCCAACTACAGATTTATTGTCGAACATTAAGTAAAGTCTTGAGGATAAATAAAATACTTACAAAAATATATCAGAGTTAAATAAATTTTTGACATAATTACACCATACAACGTATCGATGTGTTACATCTCTGCGCCACACATTAATTCTTGTGACGGACGTAACGTAAAAAAAGTATATCGCACTTTTTGTTAATCATCTGTTTAAAATCCATTTTAAAATTCGCGCCGCGTCTGCGCAATCAATGGTCGCGTTCAGAAGACTTCAACCACTCAACTGTTGCGGAGCGGATTCGTGAGCGCTCGCTATTGGATGATCCAAAAGAATATATCAATAGCAGTGAGCGCTCACGGTCGCGGATCCACTCGCTGCTGCTCGCAACTGAATGCGATCGGTGACAATAGACGTTTACTATTCACGCCTCGAATTGATCTCAAATCGAAATAATTGACGTTTCTGTGTTTTGCAACCACGTCTGTATATTTGTTCACCATGAAGATGACAAATTTCTTTTCAACCATTCCGACGCATATGGTAAGTGACGAAGTCTTTGAAAAACCACATCGAAACGAATATCAATCCGCGATAAGTTCAAGGCGAGTGTATTTTTTATTTACGAGGTTAGGATTACCAAGCACCGTATGTTAACGCGATTGATACTACGGTTGCCGAAATAATTTACATATCTATTGAAATAATTTACAATACACTGTACATAACACTGTAAATCTTTAAATAAATTTGTTATTTCTATATTTACCAATTACTTGTAAATTCGTACACCATATATGCTATTTCTATGCTAAGTCTTTCAGATTTATGCACTCTTATTACTCATGCTATTTGTTTTAGGATTATGATGGCCAAGCTAGAGCAGAGAGATTGTCGCGAGTCATAATATCGTTATTTGGGGTAAGTTACCGTTCTCTAGAAATGTTTAAAATTATCTACATAACAAACCATATATTTGATATAGGCTATATAAGCGATGACATCACATGTCCTTGAACAGAAGGTATTGATAACAGTCACTTTATCATTTACTTCAATCATTAAGGTTCTGTTCAGAAACATTATTTGGCTGTCTCCATGTATCACCTTATCCTTATTTAACATTGGGTGAATAATATCAATAAAATGGTACATGGAGGCACTCAGATAACATTTTTGGATGCACCCTATTTGGAAAAATTGAAATAATTTCAAAAATTCATTTAGAAAGAATGAACAGTCTGCAATATGATACTGTTTCTAATCGCCAAAGACACCATGCTAATCAACATTCATTTCATTTTCTGTAACACAATATTTATCATACACAGCAACTATCCTGCGATAAATGTTGATTAAAAAATGTATCACTGTATGTTTTTCATTCAGTCCAAATGCTTTCTATGCTTAACAAGTGAATTAGATGATAAAGCAACTGATTGTACTCTTATGTCTTCTATCCAAAGATATGCTATATACATTTAACATTATATAGTCAACGTCAAATATATGTATATACAATAGACTTTAATCTTATACTGGGTATAGTTGCTACAAAGCTTGTCATCCTTTTTTTTTTTACTAAACTAATAAATATTTTTTACAGATAGTCGGCTTAATTTGGGGATACGTCATTCAACAATTCTCGCAGACAATCTATATTCTAGGTGCCGGGTTTGTTATGGCAGCATTAATTACTGTTCCTCCATGGCCTATGTACCGTCGTAAACCATTGGATTGGCAGGCACCGCGGTATGACGCTGCTACTGAAGTCATTAAGCCCAAAAGGAAAAAATGATTACGGGACATGTGTATACTTCAAATAAAATATAATATATCGTACAATGAATCTTCAATGTGAATTGATTGCTGATACGTGTAAATCTTTGCATATGTTTCACTGAACATTTGTTTCATGCAGTTATGAAATACAAACATTCTTAATATATAAATGCAGCTGTGTGTTGGAATAAGTATGAATGTCAAAGACTTTAGATTTCTTTTTTGTATTGTAAGATATACAAATATTGTACTTTAGTACAATATTTGTTGGCTGTACATGCGAATTATAAATAAAATAATATTGTAATAAAAGTATACTTATGCGAATTAGATAATCTATAAATAGTAAGGTAAAGAAAAATTTAAGAGCAATAAAAGATTTGTATGTCGGCCCGATTGATTTTTAAAGGAATAAACGGAAGTAAATCTATTACAGATATAAATTGTACGCAGCAAAAATCATTCTCTTTTAATTCCCTACTATTATGCAGTACTGTATATCCAATTCTTCTTCACATGCATTATATAATAAAGTTTCAGCATTTATTAACTCTGTTATAATGAAAACAGAAATGATGAAAGTATTATAATTTGATTATTCAATAAGTCTGATACATATATAAGCAATAATACATTTAAAAAATGAGATTTCTAGATACATTTTAATTTAATAAGCGGTTCGCTAATTCGGAAAAGCTAATAATTTTCTGGAATAATTTTTTTGAGTAAGCTTATTATCTCATCATAATGCATAAAACATTCATAATAATTATCATTTCGGATAATGTAAGTTCAAGAAAGTCAATAATATATAATCAAATATAATTATTCGATGTGTTATATCGCTTCGGTTTCACATCACAGGTGCTTACGTAAAGAAAAAAAAAAAAAAGGGGGGAGAATAACCAAACGTAATCCTTATACACTTGCAACAATTTCGCACGAGTGATAGCGCGTTTCCCTTCCGTAACGGAACTGTATTCTTATATAATCGTTGCGCAGAAATGGCAGTGGCCACGGATCACTTCTCGCAAATCATTAATCGATCAATTGCGTGTCCTTCGCAATTGCAACATGCCGCGCCGTTGTCTTGATCTGAGTCGTTGGACGAGTTCCAACGTTTGACTTTCATCGATCACGCTCGTTCATTTTCTCCGATCGCCGCAACTATCTGACCATCATTTCCCTTAAAATCACCGCACCTACACTGCGACTTTCACAAATGGCGATCTCGCGCAAAGACAGTATAATTGTCGGCATTGTCGCGGTTCAAAAAAGACTGAGATTTAGATATAAAGTTGTTAAGTTATAATATTCGAAGCTTTCTCCTTTCCTGCTTTCATGCTACTTCTAAATGTTAAATCAATTTGCGAATTTCTAAAAAATTAAGCTGTTACATTTCACAACTTATATTTCAAAGATAGTTTATGAAATTCGAGACAATCTTGTTTTTTTAACGTTAAATGTTTCGACTAACTTGTGCTATTCCCGTAGATAAAATAAACGTTCGGTTTTATAGGTAATAATAATCTTTGGAACTGAGTTGATAAATACGCTCGTATTTCAGATAAAATAGATATCTATATATACAGGGAAAGAAAGTACGCTTTACTTTTGTAACGCACCGGTCGTTACTGTTTATCGTTACTTGGTTAAAATAACGGATTTGAGGTTGCAAATTTTTTATATATAACGGTAGCATCAGGATAATTGGGAAAGTTATTTGTTACTGAAAAAAGTAACTCGCTATTTATTGTAACAATAATACTCGCAGCGTATGAAAACGGAACGTATCCTATAATATACATAAAATTTGGTGGAAGTGAGAAACTTTTGGTACAGCAACAAATAAACAGATCCAACAGATCTAAATGAATCACTCACTCTTTGGTTGCGTCACTGCTCCCCAATCGATGTTCTCTCAATCTTCCTCTCCCTCGTTCCATTGTTACTGCATTTTTCTGACACACGACGAGATCGCGCTTATTCTTCTTGATTTCTTCACACACCACACACACACACACAATAGAAAGAGGTTAACTTCAAACCTCTTATAATATAGGACGGCTTACGATGCACGATCTCAAAGTTTTACTGTAAATGTTTTCAAAGCATTTAATTTATCAACCAGAAAAAAAGTTTACTAACTGACCAATCAAAAAATGCTTCAAAGCATTAATAGCGTCACACTGATTGTATTCAGTTAATATCGAGTGAAATTACCGCGTGAAATTATGCATGTAAATAAATGATGTTAACCATGATCACGTACGCACTAATTTTACCTATGGTAGATTTCGCCATGATTCCACCATGATTTTATCGAAGTACGACTAGTTCAGTCAAGTTCAGTGAATACAACAATCGCGCGGCACTTCAGACCGCTTCAGGTTGCTTCGGCACTCCCGATGCTCCCGATTATGGTGATTACCAGTGATTACACGATAATATGGTGGCAATCCGAAAATCACATCGTCCGAAAGAATCAAGCCTTAATATGTGAGTATATTATCGCAAATTGTTTATACTATGTTTAATACCTAGTCTGCTATCTAAAATTATTTTTACTTTTGTAATCATGTTTATTTTTACATTAAAATTTTGAAATTTCTAAAATATATAATTATAAAAATGTGTAATAATAATATATAGGAAACTTATGAAAATATATAAAATATTAATTTATTGAACGTTTTGAAAAACTAATTTTTTTAAATATATACTTAGAAATTTGATGAACTGATTGTTTTGCATCGTATATTATTCATATTTTCAAGTATTATATCATAAAAGTCTTTATTAGATTGTGTCATGTTCTTTGAAGCATATTGCCGGTCAAGACGCAAAAAGAACCCACATTAACGCGCGCACATAAGCGAGGTAAAAAAATCGCTTGGCATGAACGCGTCACTTCTTACGCAATCGGGAGATATACCAGACCTACCGCACCACCTGCTAATGGCAAAAGTTCCTCAAGTCATTTTGAGAAAATTCTAACAGCACAAAATGTCGAGATAATCGTTTTTGAAGTATTTAAAGTTCGAGAATGACATCACCTAATTGGTGCGTTTAGATGTGGTTGACATTTTACGTTGTCCGTGAACGAAATGCCAACCATGACTAAACGAGGAACTGCAATGCTTATTAATTTTGATGCGGTAGGTCTGGGACATCCTGTATATTGATGAATTTATCGGCACGAACGATCGCCCGATCCACACATTTTTATATTTACTTTTTTGTCCTATCATTTCTTCTTTTCGACCGGCACGGCTACCTGCTCCGTATCGAGATATACGCAAAGGCGATAGTGTGTAAGAGGTTACGAAACGCTTTCTCCTTGTATGATGAATATTTTAAGTATGCAGCTTGCACCACTTCCTGTTACACCGACTCTGGGTCTATCGATATGCTATCGAAAAAAAAAAGAAAGAGGATAATTGCAGCGGAGCGTGTAATATGTACAACACGGTCTCGATCGTTACCTTGGTCTTAACACTGAATGGTTTGTTTGGAAAGCCTCGTAATCGGTCTGAATGCAGGATTAGCAAGAATGCTAGTAATTTTATACGCACACAGCTGTATGATATCAATAAGATATACGCGTTTCAAAAAATTTTAAGATAACAAAGTAAGATACGTTTACTGCCGTTCGAGATATTATCTGTGACTTCGAAATTATATCTTTTATTCCATGCACATAATTAAAATCAATACTTCTTTCGCTGCATATATCATTTTTTAGAATTTATTTTAATAAATTTTAATAAATGTATTAATTAACATATATTGAAAATTAATACATTGAAGTATTATACACGCAAAGTGTTAATAAATTAATGTATTTATTATAGTATATAATTCTAAGAATTCAACGAAAAATCTATCCAAACAACATACATGTTGCATAAGATATCTAGAAGATGACTTTCAGACATCTTATCGACACAAGATATCTAAAAGACGTCGTTTAGGTATTTTATGCAACGTAAATGGTACCTGGATGTATGTATATGTTTGGTGTTTATAATTATACACATAATGCAAGGTAAAATAATTTTGGTTAGAAGATCTATTTTTACAATTATTACTGCTATAATGATAGTAATAATGATTATATTTATAATTCTACCAAAAATATAAATAATTGTCACCGAACATTACCATATAAAAATCATTGTATATATATATATATATATACAATGAAACTTGCAACGATATTGTTGCAACGTTTGCAACGCTGCAATATCACTAAAATGACCTATGATATACTATATGTTATATAGTTAAATTATAGCAATTGCAACCAACTTTTGCTCTCAGTATATAAATGTTACGGAAGGAAATTATTGTTGGGGGAAATCCGGCACAGAGTATGCAATTTATGCGTGCAAAGCACCATTCATGTATGCGTTACATCAATAATGATATATATTTATCGTCATGTTCGCACGTGTTCGTGTCGTTTGTGAACTTTCGCTAATCTAATACATATTTACCATTAGTGGCAATCAATTACAACGTAAACTAACTTCCTTCAAAATTCCACACGCGATATTTGGGAAATCGCTTATTATATCATTCATGACTAGGACGATTATGCATACCTATGTCTATCGATATCGTGTCACACTTAAATAATGAATTAGCATTTCGTAGAACTTTAACCTTTTACGAGATTAATCAGACTCAAGTTTCTCTCGAAAACCAGAAGCTGTTTCAGCGATGCAATTCTACGAGTGAAATCAGTACAATTTATTGATGCAAAAGCGAGGACTTTTTACGTTCATGTATATACGCGGAGTAATTTTTTTTTTTTGTAGGATAATCAAGAGTAAATGTATCTTTACAATGAATCCATTTCCATCTATTGTGCGTTGGTCAAAGAAATAAAAGGAAAAGGAAAAACACGTCCAATGGAAATACTCTTTACGGGAGAACAAATTGTTTCGCTTCGTGACGTAACGCAAACTGATATTTTTACGCTATAACAGGACGTAATTTATAAATTAACGAATCTTGTGTTTTCAGGTTTTTATGCGCACTCTCACTTTTTTATTTATTCTCACAGAAGCATTTCTTTCACGTATACATATGCATGCCATCCTTATTAAATCATAATAATTAATTTAAATACGAAACTATAATGTATATGG